GCTCTGAGTTCGGCCTCAGGAAGCCCACAGAGCGGCACCCTGATAGAAAGACATATCTCCTCATCGTGTCTTAGTCTAACTAAATCTACTCGCACACGTTGTGTCTTTCGTTGCTCCTCTGGTTTCTGTTCACGTTTTGGCCCGGAGTCCCACCTGGCACCCTGTTTTTGAATGAGCTCTTTATGTTTGGATTGAAAGCTGAAATCGATCCGTTTCCTCAAAGTGCCCAGCACTTTGAGCCTTTTGTCGTTTGCCCAGCAGAGTAGGGGATTTCATCGGGGTGTGATTAAAGATCCGGGTTAACTTTGCCCAATAAAAGTTTTTTGTTCTCCCCTGTCATGTTTAGCTGCTGCTCACGTTCTCCTCCCTTCACGACTTTTTCTGGTTTTTGTGTTAGACAGTCGGGGAGATAGTATTACAGCTGACAATAAAAACAACGGCGGGTAGAACCCTGAGGCAAGGCACACCTCTGTGCACGTTTACATCCTGCGTCCTCATCGGTCCTCGCTTCACTCCTTCACCTGTGGCTGCGCTCAGTTTCACCCAGCGACAGACGATACGTTGATCAGAAATGGCACAAACTCCTCCTGCCTCAAAACGAGGTCAAATGTTGCATAAACAAGACATCCCTTCATCTCTGGAGCTCACATGTCACCGTTACGTTGCTCTGAGTTGCTGCTCTTTCACTCACTTAACACTAAACCGCTACATGTCCAGTAATGTTGCTGCAAGTCTAAATATGTTGAGCAGTTTCTTCTACAGCTCCCACATGAGCAGCTGTGGCTGAGTGGTTAGAGCAGTGGTCCTCCAATGGGAGAGTTGGGGGTTCGATTCCACCAGCAGTCACATGTTGAAGTGTCCCTGGGCAAGACACTGAACCCCTCACTGCCTCCAATGTGTGTCCCGTCCATCTGTGTTTGAATGTGATGTAAAGTACAGATTAATCTTTGTAAAGATCTTGTAGAGTGCTGTGTGGATGTGTAGTTGAGGGCACAGATTGTTGTGAAGAGCTTTGAGTGTCTTGATAAGATGGAAATGTGCTTTATAAGTACAGCCCGGATCCAGCTTGCTGTCAGATCCGGCAGGCCTCTCGGTCCTCCTGGGCAGCAGGACTTCCCGAATGCCAGGCAGAATTCCTCATTCGAGAACCGCCGCCAGGTTGACGGGAATTCATCCGTGGTGCCTCCTTTTTAACTCATTTGGGATTTGGGGCTGTAGATTAAATATTTGAGCTTTGAGATGTTAATCAGCTGCTCCTGGATGTTAACCACCTTGTTGCCATGGTTACGCATCATAACAAATGCCCAAAAGTAAAAAGGTTTCAGTAAAAATCCATCCAGCTGCACAGCGTCTGACACCAGAGGAAGTAATCATCTAAAAAAAAAAAAAGTGATTTACATCCAGAAAAAAGTGGAATTAAAGTTTTAAAAGCAATAACTCAGAATGAAAGTAACAGAGCTGCTCCAACATGCAGCCACCCCGAGTGGCACGATTCTAAACCTATATGAGCCCAGATCAGGACCAAGGTTTCCCCCGGGTTTTACAGATAACCATAGACCAGGGCTATTCAACTGGTGGCCCGTGGGCCACTTCTGGCCTGGAGGTGACTTCGGTCCGGCCCACCAATGAGTTCATAAAAATAAAATACTTTTTTTTTTAATTATATATATATATATATATATATATATATTATTTTTTTTTTTTTTTTTTTTTTTTTTGGGGCTTTGGGTTCTGTTTATTGCATTTATGATTCAATGCAATAAAACAAACAAATTTAAAAGGTAACAGCTGATTGTAAAACTTGGTTTATTTACAGAATGACTTTAATCGCTGGATGTCCGGCCCCTGATCTGCTGGCTCTCAGAATCTGTGGCCCCCCCGAGCAGATGAAGAGCCCTGCCATAGACACTGAATGTTGCATCTTTCTGACATTCTCTGCACATATGATGATTCAAACCCAACATTTTACTGTGACTTTGATCAAACTTCTCATATATTTTTTACTTTTCCACGTCTCATTTTGATTCACCCCCGTTACCTTTTGTTTTGTGATTTATTATTGGCCTGCAGAGCCAGATCAGTCGAGCAGCTTCAAGGCCTTTATGCTGTTCAGCAATCCATTTACTCCAACCAGAAACCTCAGAGCACACGTGCAGTTTTAGATTGCATCTACCTTTAACACCACCATGTCAGATGTTGCTGCCAAGAGGTCTTTGTGTCCTCTGATCTCTCTTGCAGGAAGGTGTTAATGGCATGCTACGGTGTTTGACGGGACACCAGCAGGATTACTGCAGCCTGGCTGTGAAAAGACTTTGATCAGTTCGTTCTTACTCTGCTCAAACTGTCAGCTGACTTCAGAGCCTTGAGATGAACTTCCCCTTGTTTCCACTTTATTTGTCCATTGACTGATGTCTGTGTTGATAAGGGAGCAAGGACATGATCCTGAGGACTGCTGCCAATCATTTCTGTCTAGAGCCAGTCTAGTACTTCAGTTTTACTTGAGCATTGCCTTGTTTTCTACAGTGCTACTCTATGCTAACGCTCTGCCTGCTCTGCCTTGGTATTGTGCCTTAATTGTGGTACTTTCTTTGCACAGCAGTCACTGGCATTTCTCATCTTTCTTACCATCTTGTTAGAGCTACGTATGTAACAGTGGTATCTTCCTTTGTGTTATTGGTAGATGTACCATGTAAATACAGTTGTTCACTCACAAAGTGAACAACATGTGGTAGCTTCTGGGTACATATTGTGTTGTTGTAGTATGAGTGGCGTTGTACCAGTGACGTCTACGCAGTTGTGTTCTAAGTCCTATCATGTGAAGTGTTTCAGTAAAAGACCAACATTTTCTACTTTTCATCCGTTCTACCAACATGAAGCTGGAAGTTTGTTGTTGTTGTGGGTTTGGGTTGAACTTTGCTTGAAGGTGAGGAGAGCAAGAAGATGATGACTGAAACCACGGCTAGATGCTGACAGAAGACTGACATGTAGACATTACCACTGGCTCATGGAAGAACTGAGACAAGAAGATGCTGCTGAAGGCCACAGATGTGCTGCAGCAATGTCGCACAGAAGGACTAAACAAAACAACAGTCCGGTTACACAATGATACCGTAGCACGCACCATGCTCACACTGTAGAACGTCATCCCTTCAACCCAACGCATACAAGGAGCGGATCACAACCATGACATCATGAATGTCCCAAGGTGTAACGTTGTTACAAAATACGCTTCTTTTAAGGGACCAAGATGGGGTAGAGGTAGGACAGCTAACTTGGGACCTGAAATTTGCAGCTCGACTCCCAGCCATTTCCACATGCCGTGGTGTCTCTGAGCAAGGCACCTAATCCTCAACTGCTCCCCTGGCACTATAGCTGCCCACTGCTCCACCTGGGTGTATCTCCGGTGTGATGGGTTAAATGCAGAGAACTAATTTCATCACTGAATGGGAACATTCAATGATGACACATAGCACTTAACTCTTTTATTCTTGTTTTGTAAAAATATTTTCAAACACCAACATGAACCCAGCATGGGTGTTCAAAGAGGGTCGTTGGTGGTGACGTTGATTACGACTGATGGACAACGGAGGAAATATTCAGTGTATGAATAACAACAAATGAGACACAAACCTGGTTGCTTTTGGTTTCAAACTATGTTCTACACAATATCTAAGACATTTAGTATTCTACTGTGATCACTTTTATTTTTTAATTGGTGTGAAATAACTGGAAGACGCCAAATAATCCGTCTGATTTGTTTATTAAATGTAATATTCTTGAAAATGTGACATTTGGCTGAGATTACCGTACTTGCTGCCGTACACCTCTCACCGCCCTGTAAGTCGCATCAGTCCAAATATGTCTAATAAAGTGGAAAAATCCATAAATACATTGCTTCGCCGTTTAAGTCACATTATGTGTCAGCGCTGATGCGTCGCGTTTGTTTGCGTCACCGTAGACAACCCGGAAACGTGGGCCGGTGTTGTGCCAAAAATCGATTGGCTGCCAAATGGCAGCTGCGGGAGCGTGCACGGGAGGACTTTAACAAGAATTGAACAAGGTTAACACTAAAAACAATTATTTGTTTGCTTGAAATTATAACAAAGGTGTGTCTCAGTTGAACTTTTCCTTAATAAATGCACTTTGATGGTCGAATCAGCTGCGTTTTCTCTGAGCCGTGCGGCGAAATGCAGCTGATTGTTTGCTCCAGGAGTTCTGGAGCGAGACGAAGGTGGCTTTGTATGGCAAGCCAAGTGTCTCATTAAAAGCAACTTTTACCTATTAATGTGACACTTGGCTTGCCATATTACTCGAGCACCCTCTAATGGCTGAAAATGGTAGTGTTCAATGTCAGAATGAATGAAATTGTCAGATTTCAGCCAAAATCAGGTTATAAATATGGGAAAAAACATAAATATGTCGCTTGGCTGTATAAGTCGCAGGACATGCCAATTTATGCAAAAAGGTGCGACTTATACAGCAAAAAATACGGTAATTGTTCTTGTAGCTTTGTGAGATGCTATCAGCCTCATTGTGGCTTCATCACGACGGCGTTGCGTCGCCCGTTATGTAACGCACGTTGTGTTGTCTGAAGGCTTGGATTGGCTCCAAACCAACCAGTTTATGTAAGGTTCTGTTCCAAACAGCCACGCTTCTTCAACCTGGAGATAACGGAACATTTTTCATAGGTCTGATCTGAAGTGGAAGAGCCGATAAACACCTTTGTTTCACTTTGGCTTCAACTGAAGCGTCGCCTTCCTGCATGAGATGCTCCTCTGAGCTTTCAAAAGCCGTTTTCTTTCGTTGCTAGAAAGTGACAAGAAGGCGTTTTATATTCGCTCGAGCACCAAACAATGCCTTCAGCTAGAGTTATCGTGCACATCTATTTATTTGAGCACACTCCGTTTTCTTTGAAACTCTTCGTCTTCTCAGACATTTTGTCCCGGGGAGGATTTCACTGGCACAAACGTTGACTTTGGGGTTTTATTCTGGTTTTCCAGGTATGCCATTATGTGTGGAATTATGGCAGATTATGACACGATACAAAACAAGATAAAGAACGGGTACATCTTTAAGGTAAGGCACAACTTGTGTAATTTGATGGGGGGGGGGGTGGGTTTGGCTCCTCGTATCATTTAAGTTGGGAAGCCCCTCCTTCTGACAACCAGTTACATAAGACGTGTGTGGAACAACGGCACGTAGCGCTTTATCTTCTGTCAGCAGCTTCCACAAACACCGTGAGCTTTCAGAACTCTTGACAGGTGAAGGAACAGTAGTTGGTGTTGGAGAGGGAATAAAACAACTCATCAAAGAGAAGGAGGGAGGTCTGTGGGAGGTCTGTGGGAGCCGGGGAGCGTTCAGGGTGCTTCGGCAGGATCGCGTGTGGGAGAGGTGTTTGTGAAATACTTGTGGGTTGGTGAAGCAGGACAGATCAGGTCAGAACAGAAAGAAACAGCAGCTGTGTCATGAATCAACACTGAAGCGCTTCTGTCTCCTCTCCCAGGATCATCTGGATAAAGCCATCGAGCTGAAGCCGCAGGACCCCCTGTCCTACTACCTGCTGGGCCGCTGGTGCTACGCTGTACGTGAACCCCCCTCACCCTCATCCACTTATCTGTCACAAAGATAATGCACAAGTTTACTAAATCTAAGTCCCTCAATGAGCATTGAAAACATTTTCCCTCAGACCACGTTCAGAGGTCGTCTGGACTCTTGTCAGCATGAACCGGGCTGTAGGACCTCCTGATCTGAACCCCACACAAGCAGGAGTTACTTTGGAACCTTAAACAGATATTATTAGGACCGTTCTGAAAATTAGGAGGGTTTTTTTTACGAAAAGTTTATATGAACCATTCATCACAATCCTCTATTCAGTGGTTCCCAACTCTGATCCTTGAGGAACACCATCCTTCATGTTTTCGTTGTTTCCCTGCTTTGACACACCTGATTTGAATGGATTTGTGATTAACAGGCTTCTGCAGAACTTGTGGAAGTAATTAAATCCCTGAATCAGTTGTGTTGGAGCAGAGAAACAAATAAAACATGCAGGATGGTGTTCCTCAAGGACCAGGCCTGGGAACCACTGTGTTATCTTGATTTTAATAGTCAAGTGGAGTAAAAGACGTATGAGTGAGTTTCCATCTGCAACTGGGTACTAGACTTTTTAACAAACAGACCACAGTTAGTGAGGATCCACAACCTCTCCTCCTCCACCATAACCCTCAGCACTGGCTCTCCTCAGGGATGTGTGTTGAGCCCCCTCCTGTTTACTCTGCTCACATATGATTGTGCAGCTACCCATCCAGGCTGTCACATTGTAAAGTTTGCAGATGATACAGCGGTGGTGGGATGCATCACAAACAATGATGAGTCCAGCTACAGGCAGGAGGTGGAACACCTGGAGAGCTGGTGCAGAGAGAATAACCTTCACATCAATGTGAAGAAGACAAAGGAGATGATTGTGGACTTCAGAAGGAACAAAAACATTTACACCCCCCTGAACATAAGAGGATCTGTGGTGGAAGTGGTCTCCAGCTACAAGTACTTGGGTGTACACATGGATGACAACCTCAGCTGGAGCAACAACACCACCAGCCTGATCAAGAAAGCTCATCAGAGACTCTACTTCCTCAGACGGCTGAGGCGAGCTGGTCTGGGAAGCTCAGTCCTCACCTCCTTCTACAGGTGTGCAGTGGAGAGCATCCTGTGCTCGAGCATCAATGTGTGGCATGGAGGCTGCACAGCTGCAGAAAGAAAAGCTTTGCAGAGAGTGGTGAAGGCTGCACAGAAATCTGTTGGAGTCAGTCTCCCCACCATCACAGACATCTACACCTCCAGATGCAGGAAGAGGGCCACCTGCATCATGAAGGACCCCACCCACCCAGCACACACACTTTTTGCCCCACTCCCCTCAGGAAGGAGGTTAAGGAGCATTAAGTGTAGAACCACTAGACTGAGGAACAGCTTCTACCCTGAGGCTGTTAGACTCATGAATCTCTAACTAGAATAATCACTGTGAAAAACCATATCATGTTGCTGCTGATCTGTTTCATGTTGCTGCTGATCTGTTTCAATGTTGATGTGTTCATGCGTGCACATCTGCTCACAGACTCATGTTCATGTTTGTGGTGATGTTCAATGTTTTATGTTATGAGTGCTTAGTGTATATTTAGTTGATGTTTTTCTTAGTTCATATCTTAGATGTTATTACTGTTTTTCTTATACATTTTATTGTTGGATGTAACTGGGACCCTGTGTACATAATTTCGCTCCACCACATGTACCACATGAGGTGCGAATGACAATAAAGAAACTCTGACTCTGACTTTAGTTTAATGTTTGTTCTGATTGTTTGGGGTCACTTTATCTATAACTCTGTCAGTCAAACAGCCTGAGTCTAATTAAACACAGCGCTGATGCTCCCGGTGAAGGTCTGCCCAACGTGGAGCAGTTTGTAGATGTTCAGTGTTGCCCACCACTGCTCAGTAATGTTCTTCTTAAATGTTTTGTATTTAGTGGTCATTTACTAAACTTAACGTTTGTTTTAACAGGTTGCTCAGTTGTCGTGGATTGAGAGAAAAGTTGCTGCAACTCTGTTTGGAGAACCTCCAAGTGCCACCATTGAAGATGCTCTGAAGAATTTCCTCAAAGTACATTTTCTGTTTCTTTTTGATGAACTTGTATAATAAGCTCCTTAAGGGTCCGTGACTGAGCCGTTTCCTGGTGTCCCTGAAAAGAGAGCCTTGACGTCCTTTTCAGGGACACCAGCAAGTCATTGGTTCAGGTATGTTGACGACACCTGGGTTAAAATTAAATCTCAGGAAGTCCAACATTTTACTGACCACATCAACTCTGTGGATAAATACATCAAGTTCACACGAGAAGATGTAAAAAATGGCAGGTTGGCTTTCTTGGACTGTGAGGTCTCAGTCTCTGATAGAGGACATTTGCAAACTGAGGTGTACCGCAAACCCACCCACACAGACCAGTATTTGCAGTTTGACTCCCATCACCCTTTGGAGCACAAGTTAGGAGTCATCAGGACTCTGTACCACAGAGCAGACAGCGTCCCCACTAGCTCAGGAGCCAGGCAGAAGGAGAAATCCCACACAAGACTGGCTCTAGAGCAATGTGGATATCCTAACTGGGCCTTCCTGAAAGAAGAGAAGAAACCCAAACAGGACTCCAGTCAGCCATCAGGTGAAAAGGAGGAACCCAGACCCAGACCAGTGGTCATTCCATATGTTGAGGGAGTATCAGAGAAACTGAGACGTTTATTTTCTAAACATAACGTCCCAGTGGCTTTTAAACCCCAAAATACATTAAAGACTGGTTCATCCCAAAGATCCAGTCCCCCGGCACAAACAGAGTAATGTTGTGTATGTTGTTCAGTGTCAGGAGGTGATCAGTCTTACATCGGGAAAACTAAACAGCCACTGGCCAAAAGGATGGACCAGCACAGAAGATCAACATCATCAGGCCAGGACTCTGAGGTCTACACTCATCTCCAGGCCAGAGGTCACTCTTTCAGGGATGAAGATGTTCACATCCTGGACAGAGAGGAACGATGGTTTGAGAGAGGAGTAAAGGAGGCCATCTTTGTGAAAAGAAACCGTCCATCATTAAACAGGGGTGGAGCCTCCAGGTTCAACTGTCCCCCTCTTACAATGCTGTGATTGCTAGTATCACTCAGCCCTCTGTGAACAGTAAACAGCCATCAGGTGCTAATGATCCATTGTTAGGCTGATGGTCCTTCTTGAGCATGTGATCAGCTGGTTCTGGTTGTCAGCAGCAAACTGGTTGATCCACTCTGAGAAGGTGCTATTTAAGAGACTGTGCTGAATACAGCACCTCAGACTGAAGAAGTCTCTTGGATGAGAGATGAAATGTTTCTACATTTTTTGTTGTTTTGTTTTTAGTTTTTTTGAATGTCCAGAGGACCAGATTTAACTTTTTTAGATATTATAAATGTTGTTATATTTATTATAAATGTTATATTTATTATAACTTGTTATATTTATTATAACTGTCAATCAAGAGACACGTTTAATGGATGATGATCGGCTGATGTCTAGTTTTTAATGCCATGAGATCTACCCAGATCACCTTTGAGATTGATGAGTAGATCACCGTTGACATGTTGGGCACCCCTGCTTTAGTGAGTTTAGTGAGTGTTTTTCTAGATCTTTGAAGAGTTGACTCGTTTCTAACGGATCGGTTGTTTTAGGTATGTTGAACTTTTGAGCAGCGCTGATGAATTAAACATTTTCTGCACACCTTGTTTATCTTGTGCTGCGGTGAAATCGCCTGCGGGTCACTCCTGAGCTCAGTTTTCAGGAGTGCACAGGCCGCGTGTTTCTACACCGCTCTGATCCGTGTTCCCACATCTTGATTGTTTATATAGTGGAGAAAATACTTCTGCTCCTGGCCAGTTTTCATGTGCGTGTCTCTTCCTGGTGTCTCAGCCAGCCGTCGGATTTAACCAGCTCCTGTTACGGCACGCCGGTTGTGACATAGAGAACGGGTTCTGTTAAACTTAAATAAGTAAATCTCATAAACCCGGGCAGTGGTGGTCCACAGCCTCCAACCTGTGGCTTCTGTGGTCCAACAGTGATGTTCCAGAAAAGCAGAGATCTGGATTGTGTTATTTGTGGAGCTCCATGTCCCGTTGTTGGTCAAGTTTGTCCCTTAAACAGCTTTTTTTATCTTTTAATCCAGGTTGAAGAGCTTCATCCTGCTTACTCTAAACTCAACTATGTGTTTCTGGCCAAGGTCAGTAGTAGAACCATCAGGTTCTCCTGTCTCACTATAGACAGGTCTGCTTTGACCATCTCTGATCTTGTCTTGGCAGTGCTATAAATATCTGGGGCAGATGGAAAAGGCCAGGAGGATGTGTGAAGCAGCTGGTTCTATGAAGAACGTCTCCAAAGAGGTAAAAACTCCCCCACCCTCTGCCGTGTAGACCGATGTCACAACCCCTTCATTCTGGATGATGACCTACGACATTGACAAACCACCAAGATGGTCTTTGCAGGGGCTTGGCCAAGTCTTCAGGAGCATCTTGGAAAGTTCGCTCCTTGTTATGCGTGATTGAGCGTGATAGGGTGCAGAGCGTGCACACAACTGTTGCAAGGTGGCAGCGTATCCGACCGGTGCACACTAGCCTGGCTTGGTCATAGAGAACTTGGTGCCCTAGCCGTGCCAAGCTGGCATGGACGTGTGTCTTCTACACGCATCACTTCCTGCCACTTCTCCCGCTAGAGCTGTCATTTCTAACCCGGAGCCCCGCCCCGCCCGACCCAGATTCCGACCGGGCTGGTCCATAATAATGTGCAGGCCGGGTCGGTGTCAGTCTTTTGCGTGGCTGACGATCCAATTATATGGCAACGTAGCTTGCCATACAATCACCTGCCGCACACGGCCGTTTGACCGCGCGCTGACCAGCCTTTAAAGAGGTAACAAATTCAGTTAAGCTTCAGATGGACTAGTGCCAGCGATCCATCGCCAAATGGACGTTCAGCCACTGCACTCAGTGGACGCGCACAGCCGACAACCCAAACCCGTGAGATCACAAAATATCCGACATGTCAGAGCAGGGTATGTCAGAGCAGGGTCCGTGTGTGAATAATGCAGAATGCAGCAGAAGCAGGGATTTAATGCGCTTTGACGGCCATGAAAGGACAAACACCCCCTCTGCTCCGATCTTCTGACCCCTCAAGCCGTGTACGTCTGTTGACTGTTAGTAACTATATAAGCATTCAATGCTTAATTAAAAATGTTGGAGTGGGGGTGGGTTCGGACCTGTAATTACTGTTAATTCGTCGGATCGGGTGGTGTTCTGAAATGATGGCTACGGACTGGGGCCGAGTCGGATCTGATTTTTTGGACCCGAATGCAACTCTAGTCTTGACTCAGCGGGTTGTTTCCATACGCTGCCCCTCCTTTCAGATTACTTTTCTCAACATAACACTCTCTTCTTGTCTGTTTCTGCGTTCGTTGTAGTTTATTTTTCATCGTAGTTTATTTTTCACCGTAGTTTATTTTTCATCGTAGTTTATTTTTCACCGTAGTTTATTTTTCATCGTAGTTTATTTTGAAAGGATTGTGAAGTGGAAACTCCGGTCATGGATGAGCTCAGCTTTACTGACAGAAAACCACACTCCTCCATGTTGGACTAGTTAAAGTAAAGATCCTGGGCTAGTAGTACTAGCAGCAGCACACGTCTCTGTGCCTGAAGCCTTTTGTTCCATTAGAAGGGGGTTCCAGGTGCAGGACTCGAGGGTGTGTCAAACGTCCGAGTAGTTTCTGATGCATCAGGTTTTTTATGATGAATTATTTGACTCTGAAAGGAGCTGCAGATTGGTCTTATTTTATTTTGAGTGTTTTATAGTTGGGGTACAACGTAGAGATGGGATCATGGGAAAAACAAAAAAAATCAGTGACGATTTCAAAGAGTGCTTTAGCTGACAACGGGCCCCCCTAAAATAAAGGAGTCCTTGTTCTCGTGGCTGTCGGACCCGCTGCGTGAGGGATGAGCTCAGAAAGCCTGAACCCTCTCAGGCTGCGCCAGATGTTTCCTCCACAACGAAGCTAAACTGACGCTGAAGGTCATGACGAGGTCATGGACGAGCCGTGACGCTGGCGTCATATTAGCGTCATATTAGCGTGGTGTTCGAGCCCGTTGCTGCGTCCTCGTGCCCGGACCGCGGTGCCGTCGCGCTCGTTTCTTGGTGCGTGGCGAGGATCATCCAGCGTGAAGGGAGCTTTCAGTAAGGTCTGCGAGCCGCCTGCTTTAAACTTTGACCCTTTGACTTTTAGGATGAAGAAGCACAAAAGGAGCTGGACGTTCTGCTGCCGGCGCTCGGAGTGTGAGAACGCTGGAGGACTCGTTCAGACTTCAGTTTTAAGAGCCATGTTTTTCTGCATCAATGATGTTGTTAATCCACTCTGTGAGTGCAGCCGCACGTTGTGGCGTTGAAATCATCATGTGAAGAGCAACAAGCCACAACATCTGGAATCATTTATTTAAATTAGAGTTATTCCAACAATGATTGTTTAAAAATAGAAAACGCAGGTGTTCCTTACCTTTGTGTCAGAAGTGTTCATTAGTTATGAAGATGTCGTCTTTGTACCAGCTCACGTGTTCCAGACTTCAGCTGCCGTCGGATCAAACTAATCCTTCGGCTCCTGAAGCTGCTCAGAGCCGAGACCTGAGGTCTGATCCTGGATCCACACACAGTCCCGGGTCCGGTCCAGAATAAACCGTAAAAACTGAACTCTTCCAACGCCTTACAGCACTTAGCTCCCAGCATGCACCTGTTCTACTGTTTTAAAACGTGTTACTTGCATTAAATTTATATTTTTACATCGTAAAGTGGCGCCACTTCACATTAAAAGCCTTTTTTAAATAAGTTATGAGTTGGTGAACATTTAGAAAACGATGTTTAGGCATCCGAGCTAAAATAATCATCTTTACCCGCTTCTTCCTTTTTGGGTTGTGGGGGTCACTGGTGCCCATGTCCAGCCATCACTGAGCGAGAGGCGGGGACACCCTGGACAGGTCTCCAGTCCACCACAGAGACACCTGGACATGTCTCCAGTCTTAAAAAAGAGACACCTGGACATGTCTCCATCCACCACAGGGACACCTGGACAGGTCTCCAGTCCACCACAGGGACACCTGGACAGGTCTCCAGTCTTAAAGAGACACCTGGACATGTCTCCATCCACCACAGGGACACCTGGACAGGTCTCCAGTCCACCACAGGGACACCTGGACAAGTCTCCAGTCCACCACAGGGACACCTGGACAGGTCTCCAGTCTTAAAGAGACACCTGGACATGTCTCCAGTCCACCACAGAGACACCTGGACAGGTCTCCAGTCCACCACAGGGACACCTGGGGACAATTCAGAGTTACCAGTCAGTCTAACGTGCATGTTTCTGGTCTGTGTGAGAAAACCCACGCAGCACGGAGAGAACATGCAAACTGCACCCAGAAAGGCCCCCGGCTGGGATTTGAGTCTGCGACCTTCTTGCTGAGAGGCAGCAGCTCTACCAGCTGAACCACCGTGCTGCTCGAGCTAAAATATAAAAAGTATAGATACCTTTTTATACCAAAACTAAGAGTTTGTAGAAACGCTGGCGGTTCCTGCAGCTGTTGAGAGTTTTGAGGTTCGTTCAGAGGAACTTCAGACACAAGTTACTTTAAATTTCTCACAAAATAACCGTGAAACAAAAAACTTTTAGCTGTGTAAAGTTTTACAAACTGCCAACAAAGTTCAGGCAGGTCATCTGGACGGTTTCTTGTTTTTGTTGAGACGTTTCGTCCTTCATCCAAAGGACTTCTGTCCTTGAAGACCGAAGTCCTTTGGATGAAGGACGAAACGTCTCAACAAAAAAAGAAGCCATCCAGGTGACCTGCCTGAACTTTGTTGGACTTCTTACCTGGATCATTGAGCATGAGCTTTGATGTTTTATAAACAGCGTTTGTGAAAACGTTGGAAAAAGTATAAAAGTGTTTTAAAGTGAAAAACTTTCACCGTCATCTTTTCTCAGTTCGTTTCCAAACGTCTCCAGATCTTATGAACTTGGATCTTCGTCGCAGTTTCTCGGTTATTTGGGCCGAAACGTTCAGACGTCCCCACAGGAAGTGACCCCAGAAGTGCTACAGCCAGCTGCTGCTGCTATTTGCTCCTTATCATAAATAACAGCGTGATGAAAACTCACAGCCGGTTAAAAGTTTCTCAGATATTTTCACAAACGACGTTAATCTTGTTTGAAGGCGTCAAGGATCCACTTTGGGTTTACTTGTACAAAACCCTGCTTCAAAATGTTTGAACTGTCCCTTTAAAGGGGGGTCACTTGTTTTTACACTACAGATATATAAACATTAAATTCTGCTGTTTCAAATGTCATTTAGCTGCGGTAGAAAAACAGTTTCAGAACTTTATGAATGGATTTGATTCAATCTGAAGGATTTGATGTTTGTTTGTTTGTTTTTTATTTTATTGATTTGTGACACATTCCTGATTGTATTTATGCTCAGAAGATGAATTGTGTTTAATTGATTGTTTTTGTTTTTTCATTCCGTTTTGTGTCAAATGAATTTCAAAGAATTAAAATTTGTCGCTGAGCAGATTTTTTTAATGAATTTTGTTAATTTTATTTTATTGAAATGTTAAAATAATAAATATATATATTCCTCAAAGTTTGAAACAAACTGAAGAAGCTGCAGCGTCATGTGGACCTTCCTGAACAGCAGCCGAAATGTTCAATAAAACTTTGACTGGACTTTGTTTCGTTGTTGTTGTTGTTGTTGTTGTTACAGGATCAAACTTTTCAGTTTCTGTGAATAATTTCACTAAAGATTGTTGAAGAAGCAGAAATGATGAGAACAAAAACAGCTAAACGTGGGTAAACAGTAGCTGAAAGCTAAACCCGACAGAACTTTAGCCATATGGTAAAAAATAAAGCAGGTACAGAATTTACAGAGAATAAAATACTTTGAGGAGCTGAAGAGTTTTGTTTCTTTGAGGACAAAAACAAGTAAAGGTAAATAAATCATTAAAGTTTTAAAAAGCCATAGCTGTTATGAGCTAAAGCAGCTGAAGCTTTTGATGCCTGAAGCAGCTGAAGTAAATCAGTAAGAACTTCAACGCTGATTCAGCTGTTGTAGAAACAAAACCAGCTGAATATTTTTACATCTCAGCCTCACGGAGACGTTTCAGTGTTTTTGCAGCGTTTCTCAGCCCCATGGAAACTTCGGCTACGTCTCTTACACAACTTGGAGTTTTATCTTCATGCAGAGCTGAAGATCGATGATTAATTCAGATTCCTGTAGGATTAAGCTGAAACTTCCTCCTGCAGCTGCTTGAAACACAAAAACCCTCCAGGAGTTGTTCTTCTGCAGCTAACATTCGGCTCGTTATGCAGCTGAATTCATCCTGACCTTTTGAACCTCTGCCTGTTTTTTTTCTTTTTCCTGCCTCATCTCTTTTGGATAATCTGACATTTCTCTTGTTTTCCTTCTCATTCACAAAGATTTAGCTTGGAGCGTTGCCAGGCGGCTCTTCAGAGGCCCAGCTCGGGCTTCGGCTTGTATTAGCTGTTTTGTAAAGGAGAAAAGAACAGAGCGCTCGGTGTCAGGAATCGTCTTCTGTCTGGATTTGTCGGAGCTGCTCGGCTCCACGCCTCCTCCTCGTCAGGTACAGGATGTTCTGCAGAGATGAAACGCTGCGCCGGCTGATGGAGCTGAAACCGCCACCTGACCTGGCAACGCCACACAGTACGGCCATGTTTGTCCTCAAAAGGTAGAAAATGACACCAGAACCAGCCAGAAGAATAAAATCTGTTTATTAAAAAGTCCTGATAAAACAAACGGAAGAAGCATCGCGAGTTCACAGGAAACGCCTGAAAAACCAAAACGTTTCAACAGGAAGTCGCAGCTGGATTCTACATGTTGATTATAATAAACAGGAAAAACTAAACAACATCTTACCTGTTGCAGATAGCTCCTCGGCCCTTGATTTGGAGAACTTGCGTTTAATTCTGACAAAAATGATGAGCTAAAGGCTGGTGTGAGTTTAGCCAAGCTGCCATCACAAATTATTTAGATCATTTCACAAATCTTTGAAAAAAAGGTTAAGTGGGGAAACTTAACTTGGTGTGCACTTTAACGTGCACACAAATTGTAGCAGCAGCTGGCTGTAGCACTTCCAGCTGCATTGTTTCCATATTTCTGAGTTTATAGTTCATGAACACGCTTAATTTACCGAATCGTGGCGTCCGGATACTTCGACCAAGGATGGGTTACTTTGTGTGTTGGAAGCTGAAGAGTTTGGCATGAACCACGAAGGATCTTTTAAAGATCCAAACCGGGATCTGCTCGGATTAACGAGCCTGTCGGTGTGGTCCGAGTGGGACCAACTCCGACATAGATCATTCCTTGCTTCAGATTTAAAGTTCTGCAGCGATTCTCGCAGATGATTTCAAACATTTCCTCATCAGTCGTAAAGTTGTAAAGGTCCAGACAGTCGGTCCTACAGGGCACGGTCTTGCTCGGACTAGCCATTAGCTCTTCGGTTCTGTCAGAATTAAACTGTTTCTGCAAACCAAGGTCGTTCAAAGAGCTATCTGCAACAGGTAAGATATTGTTTATTCACAATGTTTCCACAGAACCATGTTTAAAACTGTGTTTCTCTTCAAGTGGAGGCAGAAAAACGTTCTGAGACGTGAAGGCCCGTTGGACGTCAGGCGACGTTGACGAGCGCAGACGGGACGCCGCGGGGCCACCAGGAAGTTCTAACGTTACCAAAATAAAACCCCAAAGTGCTTCGGCAGAGGGAACACTGATCCCTGCAGACTTTAACGAGACTCGTTAGCTTAGAGCAGAAATCAGGTTCCTACAAAACGAGTTGTTCGGTGCAAACTTTAAACTTTTTAAAAGGCCAAACAAATAATAAAACGGGTCAACAGAATATATTAAACTATTTAAAACATATACAGCTAAAATAATATCTGAAGCAATTTCCTGAGTAATAATTATTAAATGATACAACGAATCTGTTTTTATTAGCAGAGCTTATTCAGCTGTTTCAGACCAGGCTTCAAACTCAGCTGACAGTTTGAGGCTCGCTGTCGGTTTTATTTAAAAATGTTTGCGTAGAAGATTCATAAAGTTAATAAAGTTAATAAAGTTAATAAAGTGTCAGTTTTATGATCGTGTTTCTTGTTTTGGAGACGCAGACCTGAGAAGAGCTCGAGGTCTGCTTGGACAGTTTGGTGCAGAACCTACACGGAGGCTTCAGCAGATGTTTCCAGCTGCTGTCTCGGCACTTCCTGTTTGTCTGTGGCGGACTGCGGTTGTCCTCGACGAGTGAAAGCGGAGACGCGTCCTCGCAGGCGGCACCGTGTCTCCAGAACAACAGACGTCTCCAATCAGGTGGAACGATCATCAGCCGGTTGAGCTTCAGAGTCCAAGAATGTCTTCGGCTACAAACACGAGCTGAAGTTCTCCTTCAGCCTTCATTCGTGGGGTCTGACGACTCGCTCGCCCCCTCAGAGGACGCCCGGGCGGCGGCTGCAGCAGCGTCCAGCAGCCTCATGTCTTCGCGCAGAGACACTGCGATGGAGAAGGCGTGGGGCTTCAGGGTCAGGCCGTAGTTGTAGTCCAGACTGAGGGTTCTGGTCGGGTCCGGCGTGATGTGGCACTGGTGGCCGAGCAGAGCCGTGAAGAGGAACAGCTGCATCTTGGACAGCTCCTCGCCGATGCAGCGCCGCCTCCCCAGGGAGAAGATGAGGACGCTGCTGGTCAGGTCCTTGTTCAGGGACCCTTGGGGGTCCAGGAACCGCTCGGGGTCAAAGGTGTCTGGGTTGGACCAGATGGCCGGGTCGTGGTTGACGGACCACTGGTTGATGAAGATGACGGTGTTCTTTGGGATGGTGTAGCCCATGATGGAGGTGTCCGTGATGGTGGAGTGTGGGATGGTGAGGGGGATGAAGCTGGTGAAGCGCATCATCTCATAGATGAAGGCCATGACGTACGGCAGCTGGGGCATGTCCTCGATGGACGGGAGCCGGTTCCGGTCCACCACCTTGTCCACCTCCTGCTGGAGACGCTCCTGCATCTTAGGAAACCTGCATTCACAGGAGAGACAGGAGAACTATTACAACATCGTTCACAGGAGAGACCGGATAACTTTCACAACCTCACAAATGCTCCGCTGCCATGACAGATGGTCAAAAATAGAAATGCGTCTGACTTAGATGAGTAATAGATAGATGTATATATTTGTTCTCCTCAAACGATGGAACTCAGAAGAAACTGAGGTGTTTATTTGGGACATGAAGACTAACTGGTGCACGATGCGACGCAGTTTGAGGATTTAGTCTGGATGCATCCGGCTTCCATCTTGGTTTCCTACTGTAAGAAAAAAGTGTCTGAACTTGCATTTTTTTAGTTAGTGTGTTTTCTCACTAGTGACACCTGCTGTTCAACAGGAGAACTGCAGCAGCGCTCGCGTAAACAACAACAAACACCAGAAAGTGTGCTTCATCCTGGTGAGCTGCAGCCACTGTTCCAGAATGAGAAGTTGCTCCAGGCCTGGTTTTAGTGTATAATTTGAGCATTGGTGTCAGAAGCTGTGGATTAAGTGGTTAGAGCAGTTGTCCTCCAATGCAAGAGTTGAGGGTTTGATTCCACCAGTAGTCACATGCTGAAGTGTCCCTGGGCAAGCCACTGAACCCCTCAATGCCTCCGATGTGTGTCCCATTGGTGTAAATATGATAAAGTACTGATTAGTCTTTGTATAGAAGTAGAGTGCTGTATGGATGTGTAAACGAGGGCACAGATTCTGATTTGAGTGTCTTGACAAGTTAGAAATGTGCTATACAAGTACAGTCCATTTACCATTTGCAATCGGAGGGGGGGGGGGGGGGGATCTGCGGATCTTCCCCCAGGAAATTTTGAATAAAGTAGATGTCATTTCCTACATCTGGTGTATTTTAACAGATTAAACATCTACCTTTACCTCCATAAGAAAACACTTTTTTCAATAGTCTGACCAACAGCTCTCCTTGTGTGAATAGAGCACGCTCTGCTTCTCTCAGTGTCCTAACACCCCCCCCCCCCCCCCCCCCCCCCCCCCCCCCCCATCAAAAACTACTAGAACTAACGTAGCACTAATCTAGCGGTGCACAGTACAGATGCATTAGCTAAGATGATGATGTAGATGATGACGTAGATGATGACGGAGCGCTCCACTTCTCTCACACATCCTAAACCCCCACCCCGCCAGCACTATGTGGTGCTAAGCTAGTGCACCAAACAGTGGTGTCTCCCCCTCCTCCCCCCGTGAGTGCCCTGCCAAGGCAGATGACCTCTGGGAAACACTGCATGCTGTGAGTTGTTGTTGGTAACCAGGAAAACCTGGAGTGGACTTTTAGTGGTTTGAGTTTTCTCCTATTGATCAAGTGGAATGGATTTGTTCATGAAGAAATAGAAACAGCGCTGGGTGAACTAATATTTCATGGTAAATGTGTGTGTGTGTGTGTGTGTGTGTGGGTGTGTGGGGGGGGGGGGGG